GAAGTTTTCTTTAATCTGTCTCAGAGCAGCTATATAAATGAGATACATTCCAAACGCAGCACGCGTAGATATTTTCCATCTTCCGAGTGCTTGCCAAGAAGTTACCAGCTAATGTCTGTCAGGGGAGGCTTCTTAGCACGTGTCGCGCCGTCATCAGGCTGAGTTTGCAGTGTGGTGGAAAAACATGCGCCCCAGTTCCCGAGCCCTCCCTAAAAAGCGTGATGCATGTGACCTGCCCCCAAAACAAGCTGCTGCAAATGGATTCAGCAGCCCTCTGAATAATGAGCATTTGGGACATGCCAAAGCAGCATGGTGCCACAGCTGTTGCTAGAAAAAATTAGAGAATGGTTGCTGTAGGAAGATGTGGGATTGGGTCCCTGATAAAATACTGGGGAATATATTTCTGTAAAAGAAGACTTCAGCGTGATATTTTGTATAGGACTGCCTAATTTTGACTGCTGTACAGAATTCGATTTTGGGTGTCTCCTCAACTTCCACATGGGCAGGTGGGTGACTTATTCTGGCCAGTATTCCCCACATTTTCTCTGTTTTTTGCTAGCTAGAAGTAAATGCTTTTAGGAAAAACACATCTGGACCCTCAATTTCATCTCCCCCGTGCCATTCAGTAATATTGTTGTACACAGTCGGGTAAATCAGTGCACATGCAAATTTATTGTTGATTAGCTCTAACTTACCTTAAGGAGGAGATCTTTCAAATGATGCTGTGCTTTCTGAAGCCACTTCTCCTGCCATGTTTGTTTGTTTCGCACTCATAGTGGTGTAATTACCTTGCAGAGCGAATGAAATCCTCTCTGCAATTCTCTCTGAAATTCTCTCACATTCTCTCTGACTTCAAAGTTCCACCATGTCCTTTAACTTGACTCTTAATTCTAACCTAAATGATCTATTCTGGTGTGTGTTGTCCTTCATAAGCTATCTTTCGGAAGAAACAACCATTATACAAGGTTCCTGTTTCTGGCTTGGTTTTCACTTAGCGTCTAAACATGCCATGCATGTGTAACTGGAAATGGATTTAGGAATGGGAATGTTTGGACCATGCAAATCTTTTTCACGCCTGTCTTCTTCCACCCCTCTCAAACACATACACAGATTTACTTTTCAAGGTACCCCACTATGTGATAGTATCATTTATTTTTGTAAGATGACTGAGAAGGCCCACTTGAGATAAATCTGATGGTAGCTAATTTTCCTGGACCCAGCAATGAGCAGAGAGAGGTTTTTCCCAACATCTGGCAAAAATATCTGAGGCTGATCTTCATTTACAGCAGGAATTGGATTGGACTAATAACCCAAACTCCATTCAGTTCCAGGAAAGGTGGCCTGAGACAGCCTTTGTTAAGTCACCTCCTCTGTCATGCCGCACACCTTTGGACTCTGTATCTTGACAATATGTCTATTTTTAGTGTAGTTTAAATGCTATAGTCCATTTATTTCACAGTGTGGGGTTGGTGGTGATTACTAAAAGTAAAGTATGATGAAGTATTGTGAGATTACAAGTAAGATGAAGAATTGAGGAAGGATGCAAATATAAGGGTTTCAGGCAGCATGGCTTCGTTGTCATTTTAATCATAGGTGCTCTTTGGCCACCCTATCTTCTGGCTGTATTTGCAACAAGGGAAGAGGAGAAAGAAACAGCAGTAAACCCCAGGAAAACACCACAAATCCATAGCAGCTGCTTGTGTTGTTGCAATGGAATGTATTGTTAAAAGCATTAAATAGCATAATGAAGAGTTGTGGGTGTGGAGGGGTTTTTTAATTTTGTCTACTTTGATGAAAACAACTTGCTGTATATTCAGAAAAATCCACATGCTGGTAGATATTTAAATCACCAATGTTATTACGGATTATCTAGACCAGCCTCATTCCTTTTTCATGGGCAAATTAATGCTTCCAGTGTATTAATTTGAGCACAATAGCTGCTCAGGTACTTTCATAGTTAGCTTTTTCTAGGTGACATGAGATGTTTAAAGAACATTTTCTTTTTTTACCTTTTACCAATGCAGCTGGGTAAAAGCTGTGTTGACATCAAAGACTCTCAGGAAAATGTGTACAGCTTTTTGGATCAATGCCTAGCAGAGTTAATGGAAATTAGCTGCAGCAAAACCCAGAAAAGGTTCAGCATTTGTCTAAACTGTTTCTGTCTTAACCTACTCCTTTATACCTTATAAATGACTAAAGGCTTTTATGGTCTGTACTACAGTTAACTTGTATTGTTTAACATATAGCACTTTTATAGAGGGTGATGTATTATATGTGACAGTTTTATTTATTTTTTTAGTAACTGTATTCATTTTTTAAAAGAAGTGGCAGAGTTTTTTTAGCTATTCGTGTTGTTTGTCTTAGTCATACTGGTTTGGGTTGTAAAGCAGGCAGACCTCACAAACTTACCATGTCTAATCAGCGCCTTGGTGGAAAATGCAGTCCAATGCCAGCTGTCTGATGAGTTGTCCATCTCTAGCTCTTTCTACAGCTTTACCAGAAGATTCTTTTTTTTTTTCCCCCTTTCCTAATTAAAACTGTTTCTCTATAGAGTGGATGAATAAGTTTAATAGACACAGGGAGAGTGAAAAGTAGATCTGATGATAGACTATGCTCTATAGATAAGCTACAGCTCAATCAGAATTAAGTAGCATGGTGTGAGAAGAGGGTAAGTTTGGTAACTCTTAACACAAAAGTTCAAGCTAGCATGATCATAACTGCTCCTTATTTAAACTTGGTTGGTAACATGGATTTAATAGTAAGATTTTAAACATTTTCTCTGTGTGCATACACTTATGCATTCTGAAAAGGCTTACATTTTTCATATATAGGACCACGCATTCATACTGTGCATTTCAGGAGGAGACAAATTTAATATACCCTCTACCTGTGTGTGAACTGAAGAAGAAAGTTTTGGGAGTCCTTGGGCAGCTTTGGAGATGCAAAGTACTAGAAAGGGAAAAAGTTCTTTCACTAAGTAACTGTCGGTGTCTGTGGATATTTACATAATTATAATATATTCTCTACTCTTCTTCTGTGATGCTCTAGTTTTCATCCAGAATTTTCAGAGAAAAATGTCAGTCTCTGTTTTCATACATGAATGTTTTTCATAGCGTCATATGGAAGATTGACTATCGCTGTATTGCGCATACAGCTGATACAGAGTACTTTTCCTTGAAGCTTATCCATCGTGATTTTTGTGCTGACTCAGACTGATTCATACACTGGATATAGTTCTGACTGGGGCTAACATTCAATTTACCAGAGATCTGTTTTTCAGTAATGTGTTAAAATTGTACTTTTATGCTTGTAACTGTCATTTATTTGAAGATTTGTCACTTTATAATCTAGTAGTTGAAACATTTGTTTTGATGCTTACAAAACTAGCAATTTAATTGTCTAGGAATGTATTTTTAGGTCTGTTTTGAGTATGTGTTTATGTTGTTTCGGGTATTTGGGCATGAATTCTGGTCTGGCTGCAGCTATTAAAGATTAGTTACTGCTCATTTTTTGATGCCGCAGTCACAAGACTTTGTTTTCTGCAACGTCAACATTTATGACATGAAGGCTGAGCAGCTCCTGATATGTTCCTTAGCTCCTATGCCCTGGGAAGTGCTCATCACTTCACACAAAGCATTCAGTCTTCTGCAGATTCAGGCACTATGTAAAGAGGCTTTCAGCCTGGGGCTGTGATGAACCAGATATTTTTCCTTATGCAGTAATGACACATTATTTCCTTGTGATATGCTATAATGCTCTTGAAAATTTGTTCTAACAACTGAGTATTGGAGGAAGCTAAAACTTTCTTATCCTTCTTTCACCATCTTCTTGCAGTCTCCGTGCTGCACTCACAACTCAAGTGATAATGCAAAATACAGATTCAGAAAAATGTAAACTGGTGTATGGTGGAGAGAGACCTACTTTGTTTGTATCCTTAGTGCAACAGTACCAAAAACTTTACACTTCTCGAACATGAGCAGTAATATTTGTACTGAAAAATAATATGGGATTGCATGTGTGTTTAAATCTTTTTCTTTTTTCTTTTTTATGGAAGCATCTGTTTATTAAGATTTATTGTGATAGCCAGTTCTGATCTGACACTAGAATCTTTCAGTGAAGTCTTATTAATCAATGAAATCATGAATGACTTCTGAAGTTGTTTGATGCCGTTTGTTTTGTACTGAAGTGCTTTACTTCATATTGGAACCTATTGGATAGTATTATCCACCTCAGCAGCACATTGTTACTGTTTATGTCCATCAGCAAAAATTCATCAAGGAATACATTAATAAGAAAAGAATTAAGTCATAGAACGTATAGAACTGTGTCGAGTTCTGGGCTCCCGCTACAAGACAGACGTGGACATGCTGGAGTGAGTCCAGCAAAGGGCCACAGAGATGCTGAAGGGTCTGGAGCATCCGCCGTAAGAGGAGAGGCTGAGAGAGCTGGGACTGTTCAGCCTGGAGAAGGGAAGGCTCAGGGGGGATTTTATCCATGTGTACAAATATCTAATTGTAGGGGAGAAGATGACAGAATCAGACTCTTCTCAGTGGTATTTAGTGACAGGACAAAAGGCAACAGTCACAAACTGAAATAGAAGAAAGTTTTTTTTACTGTGAGGGTAGTCAAACACCAGCACAGGTTGCCCAGCGAGGTTGTGCAGTCTCCATCGTTGGAGATATTCAAAACCCAACTGGACAGAGTCCTGAGCAGCCTGCTCTACCTGACCCTGCTTTGGTGACCTTTCTAGGTAACCTCCAGAGGCCCCTTCCAACCTCAACTGTGATTCCACACCGCTTTTTATTGTGAAGTCTTACCCAAGCTTAAATGGCATTGGTGGGACTTCTGCTGGGTATTTCAAAAGCTTTGGAATCTGTTCCATAAGGATTTGAACTTCCACATAAAAGTTGTTCGTCATAACTACAATGTCTTTTTCTAACATTGCCTGAAAAATTATAGAGGTTGTTAACTTCATCTGCACCTTTTGTTTTGCCCCTCAGGAACGTTTCTTCTCGCCAAGAATTCGTCGTCGACTTCATGCTGTCCTAGCATCTGTTAGCACTTCAATGTTGATTTTATCAAATCTAATATTTCTTGGAGGAAATCACGTTGGAAAAATCTACTGGAACAGGATCTTTATGGAAGGCAAGTTTATTTTTATGTGCTTTCTAGATAACAGAACTTTCCAAATATTACCTTGGGTGGGCTGAGCCAGGCTCTCTCAGTGCACTAACTGGGAGTAACTTTTTTTCTGTTCCTGTTCAAAAACATCAAAAATCTGTCTCACAAAATCTAAATAACTATGCAGGCCATGTGACTACAAAGAAACATTGCCTTTCTCCCATCACATCTAGAATAAGAATTATCAGGCTTCTCTGTCAGTGAAATCACTGAAGATCAAATAATAAATGTGTGACAAGTTAGCCAGGTTGGATTTTTTTTTTCTGCTCTGCATTTCATATACATCAGTAAGAAAAGGCATACTAAAGCCAACCTTATAGATTCTGTGGAAGGTTAGTGAATGAGATCTGCATAATACAGCATAATTGAGCAATTGAAGTTTTTTTTGTAGCGAATCTGTTGTCAGGGTAGAGACCTTCTGACTATCGAGGACGAGGTTTGAGGACAGGGGAACTTGGGTGACAGTATCAGCCTGTGGTGTTGCTGAATAAGCAGTATGTAGCGTTGTGCTGTGAGCTGACTCGGGACAAATCCAGCTTTATTTTTTTTTACCAGAGCTCAATGTAAGCGGGACTGGTTTTCTTCTTGCTGTTCTTATTGCTGCCAGAGTTCCACATAGTGAAATACAGGTCTTGTAGAGGAATATTTGTTCCTCATGAGGGAAGTACTAATAGGCTTCTGTGCCTTGAAGCACTTTCCTACAAAGACCACCACTGTCTATTGCTCCTTCATGCAGTGTTTTCTCCTCATGTTCCTTGCAATGGTTTAGAGGTCAGCTCTGGAGTTCCAAGGTCCTACTTAAGCATCTCAAAATAATGAAACTATTAAAGAGTAAGTTGTGTACATAAACTGAAGGATTTCTCTTCTGAGCTCAAGCAAAAAAGCATTCAAACAGCCGTAAGAAAGGTACATTTTAAGCATAAAATATAGTGAAGCAGGGAAGATGGGATGAAATGCTTGTTCATGTTTGGTTTTTGCTCTTAAAACAAAGATTTGTCTTCTGTTTTCTTAAAAAAGGCTTCATTTTCTCTTAAATTGTTTCCTCCCAGTTAGTTGGCTAATAGTTTCAGTAGGAAAAAATAGCTGATAGCATAAGTTTGGAAGTAAAGCTAGACATCATTTCTTATCTATTAAAAAAAAAAAAGCACTGGTGAAATTGTCCATTTCAGATTTCTAGCTTCATGCAAAATATTTTCTTAATGCAATTTGTATATTGTAAATGGAGAAAGTATGCCTTCCTCTTCACAAGGGTTAGCAGTTGGCAGAATGCTGGGGTTTGTGTCTGATGAAGGGCAATGTTTTAGCAAGTAGAACAGTATTTAATTAAACAAGATCAGTTATTGATTGTTTTTCTAGGTTTGGTTTGGTGCAGGTTTTTTAATAGTTCTTTGGTTTATTGCTCTGCATGTAACTCAAGTACATACAGTTACTTCAGTATTAGGTACCAGGTGTCTAAGATAGGAATAGCAAATTAGTTTAATCATTTGTGACTATTTCCATGATGTTATTCAAATTAACTTTATTTTTAGAATGTAAAAGCTTTTGCTTAGTGCAGCTCATACTCTACTAGCAGAAATCACAGGGTTAAGCTTTAGGTCACACAGATGACTGCGAGCATATTCTATTACTGCTTTGTGGTTCTGACAACTCACGTGTACAAACTGAAACAGCCGGTAAGATTTTACTGCATCGACACTCTGCTCCTTCCACTGAAGGCCAGTCAAATCCAGAAGGACTATTCAGAACTATGGTCTTCAATTTAAAGTAAATTTAAGTGCTGGTTGGTAGGAGATGTAACAAAAATCTACACATATATTTGCAGAGTGCAATGCTGAAAGACAAAGATAAATAAATTTGTGTATGGCCTGCACTGTTCTGGTGAATGCAATTCATCAGTATATTCAGACCAAACGAAATACTGCAGTATATACTCTTTGGTCATTCCTTTGTCAGCCCAAGGACAGATGGGATGATCTAGCTGCTTGTCTTCAACTCAAGTTTTTGTCATTACCTTCATAAAAAGTTAAATGGGGAGATGCTTGACTTGTTTGAAGCAGAAAGGGTGGTGGGTAGTGAGTTAGCGTTCGATGAGGCAGGAGGGTGTTTGTTTTGGGGTTTTATTTCTACACTTTCTTTCTGGTGTGATGCAAACAACATAAAGTTCCCATGCATGAAGATTTTCTCTTGTGCACTATGGTGTTGAAGAGCTTTGATTAGAACATATGTTGACCTCCCATCAGTGTCTTGTAAAAGGTACTCAAGAAATCTGGCAAGGGACCTCTTCTGTATATAATACCCAAATCTGTGTCCTTGCACTTGGTAGACAAAGCAATGTTGTAATGTCCAGTACATTACTAAGATCTGCTAGATATGTATCTAGTTACTTTGAGTCAGTAATTGTTAGCTTTGGGTTGAGAAGAGAGAAGATACTTGGTGAATTTCAGGTTAAAATATTAAAAATAATATTCTTGCTCTATTTAAAACCTTTTTGATCTGTTTGAAATTCATCTTAGTTTAGGAAACCTAAGCAGGGCTATGCACCACTCTAAAACCAAACCTAGAGAGTAGACATTTGCATTTGGAGGACATTTCTACATTCTTAACAACCTGGACAGTAGGTCTTGAGAGTGGTTGACTGAGGTGGCAGATGACTCTGTAGCAATAGTGTGGCATAAAATCCCTCTGAGGTAAGGAGCAGAGATCAGGCAAGGAATAGAGAGCTGTGAAAAGTAAGCTGTCCACCTGCAGATCAGCTGCAGAGAATAGTCAGTTCCTTTCCTTTGTTCAAATCCCACAGAATTATGTCAACAACAATTTGTACACATACAGGTAGGAAGAAAATAGAATAGATGTGCACTTCACAGTTTGTAAATATAATTGGCATTTGTAGATCACTAACAAACTTAGTCAAGAACACATATGCTAAACTCAAGCAATAAAAAGCATCTCAGAGCAGAAATCAGATCTCCAGATTTAGGTACAGCTTTAGGTGTTGTGCATGGCACTTTCAGGTCTGGTAAGTAAATGAACCTCAGAATATCAGTATTTTAAAACCCTAAATGCCCAGCATATAGCACTTTGTAGTCAGAAATTAGGAGTTCTATTGTATAATAAAAACAATGTGTGGAGAGCAGCTTCCCATTAGCATGTATGTGATGGTGATGCAAATTTAAAATGGCGAACTCTTAAAAGGAAGTTTTACTGAAGCTGAAGATGTACAAAATGCACTTCTAGTTTTGCTCTTTGTTTACTGAGGAGGATCTGTTGTGTTCTTTTCCAAAGACTATTATCAAAAAGCTATACAGTTGTCTGAGAGTGGGGAGGAGAGGACATGGGTATGAAAGCAGTTCAACCCCAGGACAGCATAGTCAGTGCAAGGAGGGCCACACGAGTGCGCTACCTTTGTTGTCAAACCTTTGTAGATTGCTTTCTAGGAACAGGATTTAGATGAGATTTTCTCACGTGTGGTAAGCTTTGGATGCTGCAATGCCCCTTGCCATGCTATAGTTATCCCTTGTCTTTTCCCAGAATTCTTGCTTGACTGATGCTTGAACTGTTTTTCAGTGCCTTGGCAGTGCTTTCGACAGCTCCCATACCACTGACAAGGAGAGTTGATATTTGAGCATGCCAGGCAGCAGTATTTTTCAACATTTGTTTTCCTCTTGTGAAAAATAAATTAAATTTATCTGGCTTTAAAATTAATTTCTGTGCATCATTAAAATCACTATTGCCAAAATTACAAGAGTGTGGGGGTGTGTGTCTTACATGTATGAGTATTTGTTCTTAAATTTGTTCTCAAACTGTTCGGATCAGCCTTAGTGCTTGTTTCTAAAACTTAACTTGGCCCCTTAAGTTATTTACAAAGAACAAAGTTCCTGCAGCAAGCATTTGCTTTGACTTTTTTTAGTAAGCATATGATACAGTGTCATGCTAATAAGAAAGCAGGAGAAATGTCTTCTATGTAACAAACTGGTTTTAATCCTGTATTCAGAGTAATTAATTAATACTTCTCTTCCAAATGAGAGGCTCCAAAGAGGGAGGGTTCTTTTTGGAAGGACTGTCTCCTGGGACTGGTGCTGTGCAATGCTTTTGGCTGAGAGGCTGAATTATCTTAGCAAGCATGGCCAAAGGCATTAAACTGGGAGGGGACACAAGTATATTGGGCGATAAAAGTATAAAATGCTCCCAGCTCTTTCTCTGGTTTGCGAGGGACAGAGCCCATATCAGCGAGGAAAATGCACAGTGCGTGCCAGGTGTATTTTACTTTGAATAGCTGTCTGAAAATTGGACAGCCATCATTTAACTTAACTATAAACCTGTACTTTAACTATGCAATTTACCTTGCTAAATTGTGAGAAGTGCCTGTCTTGAGGGCAGTTCATCCCACATATATCTAGCTTAGCATGGGATGAGATGCACTGTCACCCTTCACTGGGTTCAAAGGCATTTTGTACGGGCTAGTTTAGATTAGATTGGACGTCCAACCTTTGAGAAGGTGTCCTTCAGTAGACATCCAGCTAAGACTGAATTTCACCCTCTGTTAGAAATGATTTACCACAGGAGTACAGAACGGCTGGCTGGGCAGAAGTCCTGCAATGAGGGTTATCTGACTGTTCTACCAGATTGCAAACTTCGTGCATCAACAGCATCATACCACTTCCAACAAAAATAGACCTTACGCTGAGATGCACTGACAGCAGTGTAAAATGCATAAAATAACCTCTTCTCCTACATGATCTTCTGAAGGTTAAAGTAATAATATGTCCAGTTTTGGTTACTGCAGTTTAAAAAAAAAAGAAACACACGACAATTAAGGAGAGGGAAATATGGCAACATGACTGGAAGCCTAGGAGCCATGACCCTGAAATAAATGACATTGTTTTGTTTTGTGAGGAAAGTATTGAGGGCAGAAATAGATACATAGAAGTTTCTGCAAAGAAAATGTTAACAAGCTATTCTGTATT